CCAGCACAAGTAGCAAAGTTCAACAAGGCAGAAAATAACAAATGCAGGTGAGGATGTGGAGAAATTGGGACTCTCATACACCACTGGTGGGACTGTAAAATGGTACAACCACTGTGGAAAGCAGTATAGTGATTCCTTAAAAAGTTGAAATTATAAATACAATTTGACCCAGCCATTCCATTACTAGGTACATATCCTAAAGAAGTGAGAGCCATGACAAGAACAGACATATGCATACCCATGTTCATCGCAGCACTATTTACAATAGCAAAAAGATGGAAACAACCTAGGTGTCTGTCAACTGAGGAATGGATAACCAAACTGTGGTACATACACACAAAGGAGTACAATGCAACCCTAAAGAATAACATAGAATCTGCAAAACACCACATAACATGGAAGAACTTGGAGAACGTTATGCTGAGTGAAATAAGTCAATCACAGAAGGATAAATATTGCAGTAGTCCGTTGTTGTAGAAGTCAAGGAAAGGTTTATATATGGAAGGAAATTTTCTTTGTTGGTTACCAGTGGGGGGGGGGTAGGGTAGGGAACACTGTTAAATAAATAGAGATTAAGTATTGATTTGGGTGAAGAGAAGGGCAATGTACCAAATGTGAGTGATCAACATGGTGGCATTGAGGCTAAGAGGAAGACATAGAGAGGTACATGGGAGGTGCAGACAACAAAGATGAACTCTTTTGCACATACAGTACTGCGTTGTCAGTGAAGGCAAACATGAGTATACAGGTGGATAGATGGGTGGACAGGCTGAACTATTATGTATGTCTATGCAGCGGGGGGAGCTCTGGTAGCATAGTGCCTAAGGCACTTAACTACTAACCAGAGGCTGGTGGTTCAAACCCACCAGCCACTCCTCAAAAGGAAGATGGAGCAATCTACTTCCATAGTGATACTGCCTTGGAAACCCAAGGAGGGGTTGCTATGAGTCGGGTCTGACTTGATGGCACATTACAACAACAACAACATGCAGCAGGGAGTGTACCCAAGACCATGTATAGGGTTGGCAGACAATGGTTCCACAAGTGTATTTGTATGTTCTGTAAGAACTCCCAGGTGTATACTGGAGCTGACAAGGGACAAGTTTGTAGTCACTTCTTGGCCACAGCCAGCTACCCAGAAGGAGTGAGTAGTTAAACCTGTGGGCTCAGGACCATAGTTGCAGGGGACATCAAGCTCAATTAGCATAACATACTACATAAAACATTGTTCCACATCCTACTTTGGTGAGTAGTGACTGGGATCTTAAAAGCTTGCAAGCAGCTATCTAGATGCAATGACGGGTCTCTCCTTGTCCACAGCAAAGAAGAATAAAGAAAACCAAAGATCCATGGAAATGATTAGTCCAGGCAACTAGTACACCATGCAATCTACAGCCTATATGAGTATAAGACCAGAAGAACTAGACAGTGCCTTGCTACCACTGTCAACCACTCAGAGGGGGATCTATGTAGGAGATCCTAGATAGAGTGGGAGAACAATGTGGAACATAACTCAAAATCATTGGGGAAAAAAAAAAAAAGGGACCAGGTTTGCTGGTCTGATAGAGCCTGACGGAACCACTAAGACTACGGTCCCTAGCTGCCCTTCAGGTCTGGAATTGAACCTACACCTGTGGCTTCCTGCCAAACAAAAGACAGGCATATGAGTTGAACATTTACCTGAGGTAGATACACTCCTTGGAGAGAATAATCATTGGAGAAAGAAGGGCTGTTGGCTGTTTCTGCACAGGGAGACAGCTCAGGAGGCAGGAGTGCATGAAGGAATGGACACAGGGAAGAGGTAACTATCGGGAGGAAGTGGGAGGGGAGCTGTTGCACTGGGGTAAATTGTAGTCAATGTCATGAGACAAAGTTTATGTGAACTGCTATATGGAAAGTGAATTTTCTCTGTAAAGTTTCACCCAAATCACAAAAAAAAAAAAAAAAAAGGATGTGGGGGGGCATCTTCTGACCACTTCTCACTTTGTAAGAAAGAGACAGAATCACCATCTGCAGCCCACAACTTATTCCTTCCTATGAGGCCAGACATGCTGCCACCCTCCAGTCTTTTTTTTTTATTTTTAAATTTTATTGTTATTTTGGTGAAAGTTTACAGAGCAAATTTATCTTCTATACAGCACTTCACATACACTTTGTCTCGTGACATTGACTGCAATCTCCCACAGTGTAACAGCTTTCCTCCCACTTCTTCCCCATAGCCACCTCTTCCCTCCCATGCACTCCTGCCCCGGAGCTGTGGAGCTGTCTCCCTTTGCATGCACAGCTCTTCTATTCTCCCATAATTGATCCCTCCAAGGAGTGTATCTACCTGGTGTCAATCTTCAGCTCAGAGGCCTGTCTTTTGTTTGGCTCGCTATTAGTCAGGTTTCGTTTTCTGGGTGTTATTAAGTAATGAGAAAAGTAGAAAACCAAATCTCTCCTTCGAGTGGCATATAGTTTCATGGGCATTTCAAGCATTGTATATGCAACACATGGGAAAAGAAGTCAATTGTAAAATAATAAATTTCACTACCATTTTGAAGAAAGACTGAACTTATAAAAATGAATAAACTCGGTTCTTGTCCTGATAAGGGTTCATAGACTAGTGACTGGCATGCATACTACTTATGAGATAATATAATAAGTGCTATAATAAAAGCTGTTGAAGGTGAGCTGTAAATGCAGGGATCAGAAAAGGAGTGATCCTTTTAAATTATTTTTCCTCCTTCCTCTACCCTCATTCCTCCAATCTCCCCACAAACTTAATGGGATCTGATGCTTCAGAAGAGAAAAATGTCATTCAAGGTAAAAGGAAAAATTAAAGATAGGCAAGAACATGGACATTTTATATGTTAATGCTTTTTTGTTTCACACCTGTGTCTTGATATACTTTCTTTGCTTATCTTTCAAACATCAAACTACCCAGTTTTCCTCTTGTATTTCTGGCTGTTCCTTCTCAGTGTACTTTGCTTGTTCTTCCTCCTTGAGAACTGTGCTCAAGTCCAAGGGCAAAACCCAACCAATCCCAAAATTCCTCTTTAGGAGCCCATGTTCTGGAACCATTCTTGTTACCAGTTATGTAGCAATCTGGGTTCAATCAGCAGATTTAAATCACACAATAGGTTCCAAAAAAAAAAAGGCAAACTCACTGCCATTGAGTCGATTCTGACTCACAGTGACCCCCTTTGGGTTTCTGGGGTGGTAAATCTTTACAGAAGTAGATTGCCCAGTCTTCCTTCCATGGAGTGATTGGTGGATTTGAACCACCAATCTTCTGGTTAGCAGTCAAATGCCTTAGGCACTATGCCACCAGAGCTCCTTACACAATAGGTTAAATAGGGAAAGTTATATAATTATTAGCTACAATAAAATAGTAACTACAAGATGTAAGGAAACTGTATGGCACCTTAGGGCTGAAGAAGAGTACCCAAGGAAGGACAAACATGGAAGGGGGTCAGACTTCACAGGAGAAAGTTGTAGTTTGGACATCAGAAAACAAAAAGAAGTTTGATGGTTTAGCCAGACTGAAGCTTGTCTGGAGTTGCTAGACAAACAACAGGCAAATGTCCATAGTGAAGGATGGGGAGCAAGAGTATCTGGGAACTAGTGGATGCAGAGGCTTTCAGAGAGCGCTTGGTGACCTGCAAGGGCAATGTGACCTTCTGGACCACAGGCTGCTGTGTATATGCTATGCAGTTTAGTATCTCTGCTGAGGGGAGTGTGGACAGGTTATGGCCAGACCAAGACTGCACAGGTACAGAGGGGTCACTTTTTGGGCCTGTAACCAAAGCAAGCTCCACCAGATGTTCTCATACCCACAATGCTAACCTCTTTCTTCCTCATCCATACTTTTTGCCTAGACACACACAATTGGAAATTTCATGAATCTTCTTCCTCTTGCAATATCCCTCTGGCAATTTCTACTGAGAAAGCTTAACCTCTTGCTTATTTTAAAGGAGAAATGCTGAAAGGAATTCTTTTGTTTATCATAGAGCATATATTGAAGGGTACATTAGGAGTTGAGAGGCAGTGCAATGACACATATTAAACTTAACATGCTCCAGCCACACTTGCTGTTGTTTGAACTAGGCACGATCCCACCTTAGGTCCATTGTATTAACTTTTCCTTTTGCCAGGAATACTCCTTGGAACATGCCTTTAAATATTTGCTCAACTGTAACTTTCTCAGTATTCTAGTACTGCACACATCTCATTCCTGATTCCCTTTGCACTATTTTTTCCTTTTTGAATAGTGCTCTGGTGGCTCAGTGACTATGGTATTTGGCTACTAACTAGGTCATCGGTTTAAACCCTGCAGCTGCTCTGAGGGAGGAAGATGGGGCAATCTACTTTTGTAAAGATTTACAGCTTTGGAAACCCAATGGGCCTTGCTATGAGTGGGAGTCTACTCCATGGCAGTGAGTTTTCATTTTGGTAGCATCCTCTGCCACACTAAATAATTTACTTATGTATATGTAATACGTTTATTGTCTATTTCTCCAGGCGATGTCCCTCCAGCTTACCAGAATGTAAACTCCAGTAGGAAAAGGATCTTTATTTATGAATAGACCTCAAGAACCTAGAAAAAGTTACTTGTCTACTTCCAATGGGAGAAACTATGTAGTTTTCCAGAATTCGTTCAGGAGATGCTCTAGCAAATGCATTTGGTAACCAAAGCCCTTGAGAACCCATACAGTGAGTGCTCTGTTTTCCACTTCTTGTGTTAGGTACCGTTCCCAAACCAGTGGCACCGCTTTTACTGGAGGACTGCAAAATACCCGCTCTTGAGGGTAGTAGGCCCGCCCCTTGGCAGCTGGGGAGTGGCTCCCTGTCACCTCCGGTCCTAGAGTTCCCATCAATCAGGCGGGTGGTTTCAGGCAGCAAACATTGCTCGGCTCTGTTCCCGCCAGGTTTTTAAGTTTCATTTCCTGCCGGGGTTGCTGGTGTCTTCTCCTTTTTCCGAAGTCAGTTCTCTTTTCGAGGACTAGATAGCCCATGGCATGGACTCCCGGCGGGGGAAAGCGACGCGGACATCTAGGAGGGCCGGTGCCGCGGCCCCCAAAGGCTTGGCTCTGAGTACGAGGGACGCCCTCGCCCAACCAGAGGAATTTCCGCGTGCCTCCAGGGCTGCCCAGTCCTGCAGGGGAGGCTGCGCTCCCGCTGGGAAGTCGGAGTCCCAGCGGGAGAAGAGCTTCCCGGGCACCCAAGAGAGGCGGCAGGTCCGCGAGCTAGGGGCCCGCGCTAAGAAGGCGCCCTTCCTTTCCTGGGGCTCGCAGCCCTCCGGCGCCGTCCCGTTGGAGGGGCAGGAGGCTACTACAGTCTCGGCGGAGGGGCCGGTCCCTTCTGCCTTCTCGGAGCCACACTTTTCCAGAGCGGGATCTCGCCGCCGAGGGAGCTCAGGGTCCAGTCGGAAGCTGAGGTCCGCACCAGGGCCTGAGCAGTTGCCGAGCCTTGGCAGGAGAGAATCAGTGCCCAGTGACTGGAAGCCCCGGGCAGTGCTGGAGAAGTTGAAGTTGAGCCCTCAGGAGATCAGCCCGGCAGCGGAGGTCGTGAACCGGGTCGTACACCACCTGCTGCGGAGACTGCAGAGCTACGAATCTGAGTTCAAAGGCATCTCGCTACTACGAACCGGGAGCTACTACGAGCGCGTGAAGGTGAGCTGCCCGGCTCGCCGGCCCCGGCTTCCGTGCCCCTTTTCCCAGCCTCTCCGACTTTCATCCTCCCCGTGGGGTCGCCGTCTCTCACCTCCCTTCAAAAGTAACCCAGATTCTTGCGGTGTCTGTGACCTAGTTCTAATTAAGTCGGCAAACCTTTGTTCGTTCATTTTAGTCATCTCTCCATCCAGCGATCATCTAGCTAACTAATATTGATTGCCTGCCACTCAAAGTACTGCTATAAGGGGAATTCAAAGGTGGAATTCATTCATGTAAGCAGATGTGTATTGAGTTTTTATATCAGTACTAAATGTCCTTGGTTTTGTTAAACTCTGACTTGGATAATTTGGAATGATCTGCGAGGAATTCCACTGAAATGAATGTATCTGAGAGACTTTTTCCTATGAGAAGAACACCTGTATTCATAGGAAAAATTATTTCAGTTACCTTTTGCCACCCCTCCCCCATTTCTATATTTATATCCTGGGAAGCTCACAGTGAAAGAAGTTTTAAAAAAAAAAAAATTTGAGAATCTATAGGTATTAAAAAACCTAAATGCACCTCAAGTATAATTGCTTTTAAATGTGTTTTCCAGAGCTCATTTGTTTGTGGGTGGTTGAGTCATTAAAATAATTATTCCAATATAAATTGACCTTCAGGATCAGGTTCCTGACCAGTGGCAAATTGCTTTGTCTTTCTGTCTGCCAGTTTTTTGAGTGCTGGACTATGCACCTTTAGCTTTATGTAAGATCCTGGGTGTAGCATTGAGTAATCATATTTTATTTTAGAGTTACATATTGCCTTTATTCAACTAAGTGCTTTATTCCAGAAAGAGTATGATTGTATAACTTTAGATTTAGGGTTTAAGCATTATAAATAAGAGAGTAGGCCAAATATATGCTTCTTTGTATCTCTAAGTCTTAATGAATGGGCTGAAGAAGAAAGGATGGGTGATCTCTCTTAAGATCCACCTCCCTCAACCTTCTCCTTGGTCTTTCCCATATTCATCTCTCCATGTTGCTATCCCTGGAAAGTTCAGAAAAGCATATAGAAGAAAAATAATATTAATTTCATTCAGTGTTATCATTTTGATATACTTCTATTATGCATATATACATAAACTTTTAATTTCAAACTTGGATTCCAAGCTGTTTATAATTGGTAAAAGGACAGACAAAATGTTAACTTTCCTGTTGGTGAAAAACAAGGCTCCAGGAATTGATGGAATATCAGTTGAGGTGTTTCAACAAACGGATGCAAGCCTGGAAGCACTCACTCATCTATGTCTTAAATATTTGGCTATCTGACCAGAAGAGACCCACATTTTTGCTCATCCAAAGGAAAGTCATCCAACAGAATGTGGAAATTATCAAACAATATGGGTAATATCACACACAAGCAAAGTTTTATTGAATATAATTAAAATGGTTGCATTGACAAAGTACTGCTAGAAATTCAAGCTAGATTCAGAAGAAGATGTGGAATAAGAGATATCATTGCTGATATCAGATGGATCGTGGCTGAAAGTAGAGAATACCAGAAAGATGTTTACTTGTGTTTAATTGACTATGCAAAGGTGATTGTGTAGATCTAACAAATTATAGATAACATTGTGAAGAATGCGGATTCCAGAACACTTAGTTGTGCTCATGTGGAACTTGTACATAGACCAAGAGGCAGTAATTCAAACAAAACAAATATCAAATATGATGGTGAAATTAGGAGATTTCCAGATAAGCAGAGATTAAAGGAATTTGTTAAAACTAGACCAACCTTACAAGAGATACTAAAGGGAGTGCTTTGAACAGAGAACAAATAATAGCAAACAACAACTGACCATTAATACACAAGATGACATAATCCAGAAACCAACACAGCTTTGGAAATATCAAAAGTAAAATAAGCTTACAAGACTGTAAAGGGAGCCAAAGACATCAATTGGCAAATGATGACAACTACAGCCCAAATAGAGGGAAAAAATAGTGTAGTTACAGACCTTCTAAATGGTGAGGAAGTAAAGATTGTTGCAAGATGGAAGGGACTATTCTAAATTCAGGGAGAAAATTATAAATCACAGGGTAACCTCAAGAAAAATGATAAACCTTCACATCACAATAAAAAAGAGGATAAGCACAAATATTTAGCAAATAGTAAAACAGTAGCAACAAAGGAAATGGTAACATGATTCATAAACATAATGAGCTCAGCACAGAAAATTATGTGGAACAAAGAAACCAAGAACACCACAAAAAAACACATAACAAAATAACAGCAACCAATTCATACTTGTCGATAATTGCAGTGAATGTCAATGGATTAAATGCGCCACTCAAGAGACGGAGAGTTGCAGACTGGATAAGAATACATAACCCATCAATATGCTGTCTACAAGAGACACACCTTAGAGACAAAGACAAAAGCAGATTAAAAATCAAAGGTTGGAAAAAGATAAATCAAGCAGATGGCAACCATAGAAGAGCAGGATTGGCAATATTAATTTCTGATACAGTTGACTTTCAGACATAAAAAGACAAATACATGACTCCACAGTCATAGTAGGAGACTTTAAGACAGCACTTTTAATCACAGATAGAACTGGAAAGAAACTCAACAAAGATGCAGAAGAGCTAAATAATACAATCCACCAACTTGACCTTATAGACAGCTACAGAGCACTTCACCCAACAACAGCACAATATACATTCTTTTCCAGTGCACATGAAACATCCTCCATGATAGACCATAATTAGGGCATAAAGGAAGCCTTAATAAATTTAAAAACATAGAAATACTGCAAAGTATCTTCTCAGATCACAATGCTATCAAATTAGAAATTAACAATAGGAAGATAAACAGCAAAAGAGCAAACATGGAAACTGAACAACACCCTCCTTAAGAACAACTGGGTAAAGAAGAAATAAAAAATGAAATTAAAAAATTCCTTGAATCAAACCAGAATGAAAACACAACATACCAAAATCTTTGGGACACAGGAAAAGCAGTGATTACAGGCCAATTTATAGCAATAAATGCACACATCAAAAAGAAGAAAGAGCCAAAATTGACACTTTAAACCAACATCTCTGTGGTGGTTAAGTTTGTGTGTCAACTTGGCTGGGTCTGATTGAGTGTCTGGGCAGCTGGTGGTTGTTATTCCCCATGATGAGACTGGCAATCAACTCCATGGTGGGACATACCACAAGCAGCTGAGTAGCTGCTTTAGGGATGTGGTCTGCTTCCCATATGTAAGAAACAGCTTTGGGAATGGTCTCTAGCTTACGGCACACTTGAACCCTGCATGTAGACATGTCATTGCTCAGCAGCCTCCCATGCTCTGCCGACCTTGGGACTTTCAATGGACTTGAATTAATGGCCTGCCGTGTGCTTTGGTAACATCGGAACTGTGCCATTTTATTTGTTGACCTTGCTCTTGTTATCCTCAGCAGCCAGTAGCTGCCTGAATAAAGAAAAGCCTTAGCTTCAGTGGGCCAGGAGCAAAAGGCAGAGCTGAAGCCCAAGGATGAGGGCCTTTTACCCAGTCCCTAGAGCCTGGCACTTTGAACTTGGACTTAAAGCCTCCAAACTGTAAGAGAATAACCTCCTGTTGGTTCAAGCATCCCATTTGTGGTATCTTCTATCAGAGAAGCACTAGGTAACCAATACACCAAGTGTCTGTGGTTTTCTTCATTTTTCTTTGCTTTGGAAGAGGAGAGACCCATTGTTGTATCCAGATGGCTACTTGCAAGCTTTTAAGACCCCAGTCACTACTCACCAATGTAGGATGTACAACAGTGTTTTTGTCCAGTATGTTATGCCAGTGGAGCTTGATGTCCCTTGCGACCATGGTCGCAAGTCCACAGGTACAGCAGCTCACTCCATCAGGGTGGTTGACTGTACCTAAGAAGTTATCATAAGTTTGCCCCCTGTTAGTTCTGTTATGTGGACATTCTTACAGCACATATAAATATGTATATAGAAATATTGTCTGCCAACCTTATATATACCAACCAAACTCACTGCCATCAAGTTGATTCTGACTCAGCGGAAACTCATTGGGTTTCCAAGGCTGTAAATCTTTATGGAATAAGATTGCCCATCTTCCTTCCGCTGATGGCTGGTGGGTTTGAACTGCCGACCTTCTGCTTAGCAGTCAGATGCCTTAGGCACTATGCCACCAGAGATCCTTATATATAGTCATGGGTATATTCCCTTTTGCCTTGACATACCTAATCATTCAACCTGTCTACCCATCTATTTACACAGAGATTAATGTTTGTTATCACTTGTGTTAGACTGGGTTCTCTAGAGAAACAAAACCAGTAAAGCTTATATCTATATGTATAGATAGAGAAATTTATCTTAGAAACATGGCTCACACACTTATAGAAGCTGACAAGTCCAAAGTTCCTGGATCAAATGTCAAGCTGGAGTCTTTTCCACATCAAGCTGGAGGCTTTTCCTGACTCTTGCAGCTGCAGGGGCTGAGGAGCTCAAGTCTGGCAGGCAGTACACTGGCTGTTGACTCCAACAAATGACAAATCCAAGATCTCCAGGCCGAATGGTGGATTGTTCATTTACGGACAGTTGTAGGCAGCACAACAGAATCCCAATCCACAGAAGAATGTCTCTTCTCCTGGAATGTCCATAGATACACTGGAAGCAGGCCACACCCCTAGGGAAACTCCCTTTCAACAGATTGCCTGCTCAAAACATAATCATCTGATCCTATCATGGGAATAACCACATCACAACAGCTTAAATCACAGAGAATTGTGGTCCAGACAAGTTGACACACAGCTCCAACTATCACATCACTGATAACACAGTATTGTATATGTAAAAGTTTCTTTAGACAAACTAATTTAAAGGCAGGCAAAAGACATGAGCACATATGTTAATATGTCATCCAAATAGCAATAAACAAATGAAAGGTGCTCAACATCATTAATATCAGGAAAACATAAATGAGAACTATGGGGAGATTTTATCACACATCTGTC